ATCTAGGTTGCTTCCAGGTTCTTGCTTTTACAAATAGTGCTGCTATAAACATAGTGAACAGATGTCTTTGTTGCATGGATGTGGATCCTTTGGGTATATGCCTAAGAGGGGGATTGCTGGGTCCTGTGGTAAACTAATTCCCATTTTCCTGAGGAACCGCCATAGTGATCTCCAAAATGGCTGTATGAGTTTGCACTCCCACCATCAGTGGAGGAGTGTTCCCATTTCTCCACATCCTCTCCAACATGTGTTGTCATTGGTGTTTCTAATTTTAGCCATTCTGGCAGGGGTAAGAAGGTATGTCAAAGTTGTTTTGATTTGCATTTCCCTGATGGCTAAGGATGTGGAGCATTTTCTTAAGCGTCTTTCAGCCTTTTTGATTTCCTCTATTGAGAATTCTTTCTTCAGTTCTGTACGCCATTTTTAAATAGGGTTATTTGGTGTTTTGTTGACTAGTTTCTTGAGTTCTTTGTATATTTTGGAGATCAGCCCTTTGTTGGATATAGGACTTCAGAGAGAAAATTGCATATAAGCAAATGAGTCCCCAGATTTTTTTTTTCTTCAGCCTTACATCAATTAGCTTCTTGATTTAAAGTAGAAACCATAAATTTAATCTTAACAGCATGCTTGAATTTAGAGAAGGAAAGCCAGCATTGGTTTATATGAATTGAGACTACAGGAATACTAGATAGTAAAGAGAACTAGATTTCTGTATAGAAATAGTTTACTAGAATTAAATATTTTTACCATATGTCAGATTACTCTTCATTAAGTGATTGTTTCTGGATAGCTGTCTTCTCTTCTGTAAGTACTTACATGTTCAGTGTCTTTTGACTGTTTGAAGATAGGTTTTCTTTGTTTTCCTGTAAGAACAAGAACAGAACACTTCCCCTAACATTGAGAGGTCTCTGCACATCTCATGGGACCTAATTGTTGGATGACTTGTCATTTCTCTTCATTAAGGTGTTTCTCTTGTTCAACTTGGATCTTGATTAACTTAGATGGTATCCATAGTTTTTCTTCTCCTGTAGATATAAATGTGAAACCACTACCCCAACGTAAAAAAATCCTGGTTTCCATTCTGAGGTCAACACATCCTTGAAGTACACTGGCTGATTTAGTTCAGAAGTTTTTTTTTTTTTTTTTTTTTTTTAATATTATCCAGTGTCTTTCTGCAACTGTTTTTTATTTTTCTTCATCAATTAAAAAGTTTAATATTAATAAAGCTTTATGTAATCTGTGTTTGGGTGTCTTGTTTCCTCCTGCCTGTTTATGGCACACTTCTTTTAAAGTATGATTGGATCTCTCAACTATTCCTTGTGCTATAGAATTGTGTGGTATACCAGTTATGTGTTTTATGATGTAATACTCAAAAAACTGTTTCAATTTGCTGGATACATATGCTGTATATGTTGGAGCATTGTCAGTTTTTATTTGTGCAGATGTGCCCATAAATGTCATTCCTGCTAATAGGTGTGTGATAACAGAATCTCAGAGCAGTAACCCATTGAACCCTGAATATGTATCTATAGAATGATGCACATATTTTAATTTTCCAAATTCTTCAAAGTGATACACATCCATTTTTGATATTTCATTTCTATATATATTTCATTTATACCTCTAGGGTTACTGCCTTTTGATAAAGGAGTTTGGTAATAGAATGAGTAAGTAGAACATTTCTTTACTATTTCCTTAGCTTGTTGCCAAGTGATATAAAAATCCTTTTTTAAACCTTTGCTGTTCACATGTTATTTCTTATAAAACTTATAAAATAACTTACTATTATTAACTGATTAATTTCATCATTGCCTTGTGCTAGAGGACCTGGCAGACCCGTATGGAATCTGATGTGTGATATATATATATATATATATATATATATATATATATAGATATAGATATAGATATAGATATATAGATATATATATATATAGATATATATATAGATGAGTCCTCTTTCTGATAGTATCTTGTAGCTGTATAAACAATGAAGTTAATTCTGTATTGTCAGGAATAAATTCTGCAGTCTCAATGTGTAAAACGACACTCCCTGCATATTGAGAGTCAGTAACTATATTGAGGGGTTCCATAAAATCTATAAGTACCGTGAGAATGGCATGCAATTCAGCCTTTTGTACAAAATTATAAGGGCTTTGATTCACTTTACTTATTTTTTCTGATTTATATCCTGCCTTACCTGGTTTGTTTGTATCACTGTAGAATGTAGGAACTCCAGAAATATGTGTTTATTTTACAATGCATGGAAAGACCCACATGGTTTTCTTTATAAATTTGATTCTTTCACTTTTCGGATAATTGTTGCTAATCATTCCCAAAAAATTGTGCATGTTCTCTGCCAATATTCATTATCTTTCCATAAGAAGGAAATTTCCTCATTAGTTATAGGTACTATATTTTCTGCTGAGTCCCTTCCTGTTAGCTGACAATGTCTTAATTTACCTCTCATAATCAAGTCAGAGATATTTTCTATATATGTTTTTAGTTTTTTTATTGTGTTTATGTTGTAGGAATATTCATTCTAATATGTTATCTTATCTCTGCATCAAAATCCCTGAAGGATATACTCTAGATGGTAATATAACCAGAATACAGTCTAGGTTCGGATCCACATGGTCCACATGTGCTTCTAGTGTCCTCTTTTCTACCCATTATAATTCCTTTTCAGGTTCAGATGTTAGTAGTCATGGACTATTCAAGTCTTTGTTCCCTTTTAGGGCCATTTTCAAGTTTTTAAAACTTCTACTCCAAGAATGGTTTGCAATTGAGCAATCTCTCCAAGTAATTTTTGAAGATCATTGAGTGTCTGGTAGCAATCTCTCCTGATCTGTACATTTTGTGAACTTATTTTCTGTAGACCTATTTTATATCCTAAGTAGTGATAGACTCCCCTTTTTGTATTTTTTTCATGGCATGGTAATCCCCAGCAAGGTAAAACTTCCTTTAATTCCTCAAACATTGTTTGAGGAATATTTCTCCTTTAGAGTCAGCTAAGAATATATCATCCATGTAATGATAGATTATGGATTATGGATTCTGTTTGCAAATTATTTCTAGTGGTTTTTGTACAAAATATTGACACATGGTGGGGCTATTTAGGATTCCCTGTTGCAAAACCGTCCATTGATATCTCTTCACCAATTGAGAATTATTGTAATTCGGTACTGTGACAGCAAATTTCTCTTTATCTTCTTCTTGTAAAGGTATAGTGAAGAAGCAATCCTTTAAATCAATAACTATAATAGACCATTCTTTAGGTATCAAAGAAGGTAAGTGCATTCCAGGCTATAGAGAGCCCATTGGCTGGATAACTTTATTGATTGTTCTCTGGTCTGTAAGCATTCTCCTTTGACCATATTTCATTTGATAACAAATACAGGAGAATTCCAAGGGCTGGTTGATCCCTCCATATGTCCAGCATTCAGTTGTTCCTGAACCAGGTTTTCTAAAGCCTCTAACTTCTCAGAGGTCATAGGTCACTACGCTACTCAGACAGGTCCCTGTTTTAGCCATTTTAAGGGTAGGGCGTTTGGTTCTTCTGTTTGTTCAGTACTTGTATTCTGTTTTTTTACAGCCTGTGTATGTAGTGTCTGTCTTGTATAGCACTTTATAATATTTTTTTCCACATTCATGAGGTTGTTTATGGTTCATTTCTAATACTGGAGGAATGTTAACCTGTGCATTCCATTGCTATAATAGATCATGACCCCATAGGTTTATTGCTATATCAGCCACATATAGTCTCAACCTTCCTCTCTGTCCTTCCGGTCCTATACAGCCAATCCATCTTGTTCTCTGTTTTACCTGAGACAGGATTCCAATTGAACATTTACATCCCGCAGGTGTCATCTTGGATTCCAAGAATTATTAGTTATGATAGTCACATCTGCCCCCATGTCCACTCTTCCTCTAAACAGTCTGTTATTCATTTTAAGTATTAATCTAGGCCTATGACTATTTATAGAGGTTTGCCAAAATATACGTTTTTTGTTTCCTTCTTTCATGTTTCATTCAACTTCACGAGTTTGTCATCCAGAGTGGTATGAGTTTTTACAATAGGGACAGAATTTTCTAAATGTCCTTTGGGAGATTGTCCTCCACTGTGACTGGGAATGTTCAAACCATCTTTGATGTGGGGGCCTTTGAGAGGCCCCCCTAAGGAGTTTTCCGATGGTAAAAGGGTTTCCTTGCTTGTCTTTGGTCGACCTACATTCATTCGTCCAGTGTAGGCCTTTACCACACCTTATCCCTTATGTTCAATTCTTCCCTGGGAATGATATTTCTAGAAATAATTTGCCTACAATTTCTTTCTAGATGTCCTATCTTACCACAATGAAAATATCTGACATTTTCATATCTTTTCAAACCTTTACATATGGCTTCTCCTGCCCTAGCTTCTATGTCACCATGGTTAATTCCGCTGCTAATTTGATGTCTTCTCAGATGTTTAGATATGGCTTCTCCTACCCATGCTCAGTGTTATTGTCATTATACTCAATGTTGGCTGTATATAGGACCCATTCATCTAAAGGTGCTGATTTGACTTTTAAAGGCCAAAGCACCTCTTTTCACTGTGGATTTGCATTCTCATAAGCTAATGATTCTATGAGTATTCGCCTAGAATTTGTGTCTGTTACCTCTAATTATATTGCCCTAGACAATCTTTCTATATCTTCTCTTGGTCCTTGCCTTATCTTAGTATAGGATTCTATCCTCTCCCCTAATTCATGAACCTTATCCCAATCATTCAGAGCTGCTGTACTGCATAGAGACAACATATGTTCATCAAAGGCAGCTTGAGTTTTGGGGTCAGTATAAAGACCCTCACAAATAATTTTATCTTAGGGAGCTTTATAACCTTTCTTTAAGCCCTGTATTTCAAGAACTTTTGCTTCCTCTCTCCATAAAGCCCTCCATTCTAATGGAGAGGAGTTTTCAAGGACAGCTGATATTAAATGATCCCAATCCTTAGGGGTTACCTTGTTATTCCTTGCCCATGATTCTACTAATTGCTTCACATATGGTGAGTGCATGCCATAAGAGACTACTGCTTCCTTTATACCTTTTAAATCTTTCATACATATTGGTTCCCACTGATATGCAATGCCACCTTTGGGTGTTTTTTCATTGCTGGTTTTTCACTAATATATACAGGGCAAACTCCCCTGACCCTAAATGATTTAGAAAATTTTAAGTCTCTTTCATGCCCTTTCCCTGTAGTTCTTCTTCTGATGTATCCGTTTGAAGGTCTTCTAAGGCCTGAAATCTATTCACCATTGTTTCTTTGCGTGTCTGGATTTCTTGAACCATATAACTTTGTAGCGACTTCATTGAATCAGCCAGTCTCTTAATTTCTCCAACTACTTATGATTCCATATTTTTAACATTCTCATCCTTAGGTAATATCTGAATGGCATGTAAACTGCCTTCCAAAAACAATGTTCTATCTGCAAGCTTGCCATTATCCTCACATAAGGAACAGATTTTATCTGCTAGTCTTTCCATCTGATGTTCCAGTTTTTTAGCCTTATTAGTAGATTCATCCCACGAGGAATGAGCTGCTTCTGCTAGCATGTTAATGCATTGCATTGTTTCCATTTCCATTATTGAGGCATCAGATATGAACACATTCTGTTTTCTAGTTGGTCATTTTTATGTTCCATGTCTTACATTCTACCTGTCAGCTCTCTATTGCCATCTTCAATATTCTGAACCTTTTCCTCTAAGCATTTCATGTTTTGTATTCTAATTTTAAGCTCTCCATTATTGTTTTCAATATTTTGAACTTTTATTCTAAGGATTCTATGTGTTGCATTCTGTTTTTCAGCTCTCTATTGTCATTTTTAGTATTCTGAACCCTTTTATCTAAGTATTTTATATTTTGCATTCTAATTTTCAGCTTTCCCTTTTCATTTTCAATATTCTGAACTCTTTTTTTCTAAACATTCTATGCTTTGTGTTCTAAATTTAAGCTCTTCATTGTCATTTTCCATATTTTGAATACTTATTACTAACTCTCTTATGCTTTGTACAAGTTCCTTATTGTTTACTCTAATCTCAAACTATTTCTTTAAAAAATATCATAATAATGATGAAATGCATTGCTATTGTATATATTGGTTAAGTCATGATTTTCTTCTGTTAATATTCCTTCTATACAAGAAGTAAAAGAATTCCTAAAGTCCTGTATTGTAAGATTATCTGCTATAATTATGGGACAATTGATCTCACATATTATATAAACTTAAAGTGTGAAGAATGTTGTAATTACCTTACGTGTAATTCTGCTGTCCTGGAACTTTTTTAGTTGTGGGAGTTACACCTGAAGGAGTCCCACCAAATAGCTTCTGGCAGCAGATAATCCTTCTGATCTTGATCCTTTTAGAATAGCTCTTAACAAACTATGGCAAGTGAAATTTTGTTAAACAAATGAGTAAAAGGAGCCTTGTAGAAATGCTGCGACCACAGGGATAACACGTGGCTAGCACCACTGAATCACTGGAAACACACATACTTAAAGTCTAAGTTAGAGTTTTCAACTGAATGTAACAAATGTATCCAGTGTTCATTGTTATTTTATACAATAGACCTCTCTCTCTTTTTTTTTTATTTTGATTCATATATACTTCTGCATTTATGGTATGATTGAGATGTAAATTTGAAAATATAGGACAATTTAGTAATAGATGTAGATTTAAAAAAATGCCCAATGCCACCACAACATCACATTTAACAATATAGTAAACTCTACTGGTTTGGTTACACATCTTTTTGGGAGAATTCAAATCCCCTATTATAGTTACACTGAGTCATTGTTTGTTATTGGCAAGATGGTATCATCTCCAACAAAATCTGAGCTTGCTATGTCCCAAAGAGCACTTTCCAAATCTGCATAGGAAGACTTTACCACAGTAGAAGGTAAAAACAGAGGAAGCCTGCTTTTATGATGACAGAAAATTATCCTTTTGCTTGAGTGTTAGTGCTACACCAACCCTCATAAGTCACACCTGAATTTTGTGTTCATGTTGTTAGCTTTCAGTAATTTCCATTTTCCATGTGTCTTCTTGAATTTGGAAAACACAATATTCAGATTCAACCAGGGTATGTTTGAGTCATCAATATCTCCTATAAAATGAAAGAAAAGTATAATCTTAATGCACAAATTCTTCATGGCTATGAGGTATTCCTGGGCTTAAATATTTCTGTTATTAATTCTAAATTAATCCTTTAATCATAAAATTTATTTAATTTTGTTCTTTCTTTAGAAGTAGAAAGTGTGCCTCATGTCTTTCATTCAATATGTACTGGATAGGAGTTATATCACTATTAGGTTGAGGCAGGAAAAGAAGATGTTTTGAATATATATATAATATTGGGAGCTGTGTGATCTAGTCACCAATCAGTGTATGAGTGTTTTTTCAACGGGTCTTGAAGTAGGGCAGAAACATGAAACAGTCTCACTTGGAAAAGTCTTAAAACAGCACAGATTACAGCTAGGAATGTGTGGCCTACATGATTTTTTTCTCTTTTGTAATATTGATGATTCTCTTGGTTTATTTGCTATTTTGTACCATGCATGGGACAGATGTGATCAGTCTTTGAAACCCTATTTTCCATGAATATTTTCTCTTAAAATTCTTTGGGAGGTGATGCTTCTCAGGTTTCTTGTCTGGACATGCCACCTGTCATTTCAGACCCCAGGAGTTATTCTGATTCAGTGTGAACACGATTGTAGGCAGATCACCCCTATTTTTATCAGTATGATCTGAATGATATTGTTCTTGAAAATGTGTGCCTATGTCAATTACCTTTTATATTTCTAAAGACAGGTTATTCCTAGCTCAATATTTGGCCAAGCTAGCAAAATGCTAAGGGTTGCTTTTGGTTTTGATATGAAAGTTGTGGAGAAAAACAAAACACATTTGACATTTTTTTTGCCAGAGGTTAATGTTGGAGGATGGTAAAAACTTGTTCATCAGGATGTAAAATCATGCTTGTTTTTGATGTATAAATAAATATAGCTGGAGTATGGGGCAAGTCACTTCTATGAAATTCACTGATGGTTGGACAATTTTTTTTTTTTTGTGCCATCTCTTCATCCCTGTCTCAAGACCTGAACCAATGTTTTGGTGGGACAGAATCAGTATAATTAATTTCCAAGCTTTGTAGACATGTTATTATCCTGTAAGTCAGCTTTAATTTCTCTCAGTTATTCTCAACTCTATTATTTCTACATCTAAAACAGAGGAAGAAATGTATATGTAACATATATAGAAAGTAATGAGACCACTCAGTAAGTATGGTGTTTGTGATGCAATATTTTAGGAACCAAATTTGATCCCTGGAATTAACATATAAATGAATAAATGAATGAATGAATAAACAAACAAACAAACAGAGCATAGTATGGTGCATTAGTAATATCAGTGTTCAGGAGGGGAGAGAGAGACAGCTAATCCCTAGACTGGAAAATCAACATAACCTACTTAATGAGTCATAGTTCAATGAGCTTTCATATCTAAGAAAATTAGATGAAAGGTTTCTGATGAATGGCATGCATAGTTTGCTTCAGTACATATGTGTACATGTGTACATATGCACACAACTTAATACATTCATATATACACATATATGCATATTTAGGTATCACTAACTAGTAAATATGAGAGAAGCGTCTGTAAAAAATTGTCCTTATATTTGATATCTTGTATGCCACAATTGAGGTCTTCATTGAGGAAACCACTTATATATTAGTTCACATGTGTGCAACATAAAACACACACTACACACACATGCACATATTCTAATTTATGTCAAGTTTTAAATTTGAGATTGTAAATCCAAAAGCAAAGATATGTTGTGAGAAAATTCAAGACACAAATAGGTGCTGCTATATGTAATGTGAGTTAAAAATGTAGCCAGCATATTTTTCAGAGCTCAGCTCTTATTCTCATTTAACTTACCAATTTTAGTTGTTTAGAAATTCTTAATAATAACTAAATTTTTTTCCTGTTTCTACTGCATGTCTTGGTAAATAACTTGATATGAATCATACATATAAGTAAATGCTGTGTTTGTTAATATTGATACACAGTTACTTATGAAATACACCTTTAAGCATACCTATTAGAGTGTTTTGTAAGAGAGTTAACTTAATAAAATATACACAGGAAGATATTGGATAGGGTCACAATTGAATCATATCAGAGAAAGTAAATAAAGCCCCAGTATTCCTGCTCTCTGTTTTCTGAGCACAGATACAATGCTCCTACCATTTTGCCTCCTCCACCAAGATGCCAATATGGATTGAATCCTTTAACCATGAGGAAGTGTGTGTGTGTGTGTGTGTGTGTGTGTGTCCTTCAAGCATGAACTTTTTTGTTCCTCTGTTTTTGTTTTTGTTTGTTTGTTAGCTATCTTCTGGCAATGTTGAAATGCTTTCATTGACAATAACTTCTTGATGGCCTCATAAGTAAGTTCTTGGAGCAGCAGCAATATGTCACATGGACTTCCTAGGAATGAGGGAATGTGGGTTTTTTTCCTTCTTTCCTAAATCTACAAATTTCAATACAAATCTACAAAATTTAGTACAGAATGAGAAGTCTGATCTTATCACCATCTAATGTAATTTGTGCACACATTGAACCTTACAGAACTGCTCCAATGTTATACTATTCCACTATAGAAAAATTTCTTTCTTTTTTTACTGTCCCACATTATAATTACAATATATTCTATCTTCTTCTCTTTGTTTCTTAGACTGTAATATCAAAGTGGCTCATTCTCCCATATTATTTGTTTACCACATTCTGATCACCCCAGAGACAGACAGTATTAGCCATTGGCATCTAATTCAAAGTAAGGTATCAGATAACCTGTCTTAAGAGGAGGTGATAACTTATTAAATTCCATCAATGATTACTTATATTATTCAGTTTCTATCAATTTAAGCACATCACACTTTCCTAATTCAATTTATTTTGTGTACCTTAGGACCCCTGTTTATCTTTGTCACTGACATTTCTGGATAATTAAACCAAGGGTTTTTCATGAATATTTGAC